CGGGCAGCGCACAGAGAGCGAGGCGGGTGCCTTGGCCCGCTAACGGTGCTTGGTCCGGATGGGGCAGTAAGAGGCGCCAGGGAAACCCAGCGGTCACGGGGCCAAGCACACAGCCGAGGTGGGGTGTCAGAGAAGGGCCGGCAGAGGGCAGCGAGGCAGAGCATTCTGGAGCTTAGGGACACTCCAGGTCCTGGGTCAGCCACGGACTGGGCTGGCTGCCACTCCCTGAAGGGCGCAGAGGACGCAGTCACGGACGGGGGAAGCCCAGGGCACGGCGCGGAGGGGCGTCCCGGCAGCCGCCAGAGCTGCGGCTGCCCTGGAGGGCTACAGCAGGAGAGCCCTCGGCACCACCTGCAGGGGCCCGCCTGCGCCCGGCGCAGCCCAAGGCAGGGCGGAGGCCGGTGGGGCGCCGAGCCGCGGGGCTCCCTGAGGACCCGCCACTGGGTCCGTGTCCTGCTGTTGCCACGAACGCACGACTCGGCCAACTGGGCACAAGCGTCCCCAGAGGGGCGGTAACAGAGGGCGGGGCGACGCTCAGGCCGCGGGGGCCACCAGGGGCCGGCAGAGGCGACCCCGCTCCGGCCGCGGGCTGCAGGTTAGCGGGCTGCGGGCAGTCGGGCCACGACACGGAGCGAGCTGGCACCGGCGTGCAGCACTCTGCTTCCAAGCTGCCAGGTGCCGGCCACGGCTCTCCATCTGCCTCTCTCGTCCTCCGCCTCGGCGGCCCGCCGTTGGCGTGGTGCGCGGCCAGGTGCATCTGTGACCTCACGGGGAGGCAGCCCAGCGACGAGGCCGGGGCCTGGCGCCGACGTTCGGGGGGGCAGGTGCCTCCCGCCTGGCAGACACGCAGGCAGCCGGCACGCACGGGCCCCGGGGTGTCCGTCCAGGAAAATGGGGTGTCGAGGGCAGGCTGCCGCCCTCCTGGCCGGACCCCTCTCCTCGCCCCTCAGCCCTCAGCGCAGCCTCGTGGCACAGGGCCATCCGTGGGGAATGAAGATACCCGCCCCCCCGCCCCCGGGCACATTCACCAGAGAGCTCGCTTCCCTGGACACCGTGTTCCACAGAAGGCACCGGGGACCGGAGGGGGACAGTCAGGCCGAGGGCCGGAGGGGACAGTCAGGCCGAGGGGG